TTGTGTGACTAGACAGTTGTTCCAAACGACCGTCACTTCTCGCTGACGTACGTCGACTGAATACAAACCTCAACCGAATTGTGAACACAAGACAAACTTGAGACAAACTTCTCAGTGCTTAAGAAAACAGGCTTTCATCCATCTTCATAGTCAAATGCCTACTTGATAAGTTAGCGGGGCAACCAGATGGTGTTAATCGATTATTGTCTTCACAGTGTGGTGCAAAGTGGGACCCGACAAAAGCAAGCATGGTGATCAATACCGGGGCTTATCAGGAGGGTTGTGGGGAAGACTGAGCACAGTGCCGAAGACAGAAAGAGACACACTCGATAAATATTGCTTGAGTTGACCATTATCTGACTTGATGAATTCGTTAGAAATCTTCTTTTACAAGTATCTCAGAAGACCTCACGAACCTTTGATCAGGACCGACCAATTTTTAAATTCTTCGCTAGAGACTTCTAATCTTAGTGGCTTGTAGCTTATCAGATCTTTCAAGGTCATGAAAAATTAGGTACAATAGTTCGGTCCCCCAAATTTGGCTTAGTTATCACACATCAGTCTCTGCAGAAGCTGGGGCGTTTCCTGCCAATGTCACCTGGACATAATGGTTGTAGCTTACGCATGTTGCAGGGAAGCTGAGGCATATCCAGAATTGGGGAGTTTATGGCGCCAGCCTAAAGAAGATTCAGATTGTTTCTGTCAGAGATTTTTCGAGTTTAACTCAAATGGGCTGATGTTTCCTACTGCATAGATTGCCATCCCTTGAAAAATAAAACTTTTTATCACATGATATGGGTTTGTTGTTTTCAACAGTCTTTGGTGAGTCACGTGATGCACTGCCTTTGCCTGTCCGTCATGGAGCTATTCGTGATCAACTTAGAGGCACCAGGGAGTTTCTACAATGAACCCGTGTTAAAACATCCCGTAACTGACCATCTAGCTAGAATGTACACCACTTCGACCTCATGAATTAACCTTTTGATAAATGACTATCAGACGTCCTTACTGGACCGCACGCGAACAGTGACAATTCTGGGTCACAAGAAACAGCTTGTTCCATGCGTAGGTGGGTCTTGACGCACACCGTACCGTTAGATTTCAAATACACTTTCATTTGCAAAAATTCTTAACTTTCCATTGATCTCGTTCAACTCTTGATCCCCCGACCCAGCATCCAGCAAACCCCACCACTGATGTAACCGATCAGACGGCATATTCAGAAACGATCCAGCGCCGGACAGCATTAGATAGCTCTCAAAGCAAGAATGACGTGAGATTTGATAATTTTCAATAGAAATTTCGTCCTTTCAGTGAAGGCAACCTGCGCTAAACAGAAAAGTCTAGAAGCATTGCAGAGGTCTTAATTAGACAGCGTATGGTGCAGCTCATCAGCATAGAATTGAGCATTGATTGGCTTCACCGATGGAACGAAATCCTCAAATCCTCAGCAATCAATAGGTAGCACACAAAATACTTCCACAAAATAAGTGAAACTTCTTTTTGAGAAGCCGTCACTCCAAGAACCAGTCAATATCGGACCACATGGTGTGGTTACCCTGACCGAAGGATGAGTGATGCTACTCACACAGCTGATCAGCCACTCATGGCCAAACGATTAAGTGTTCAGCCATTGGTTGGAATGTCGCAAGTTCGAAACTTTGAGTCTCGTGAGATGCACCATGCTGATTATAGCTAACAAGAGTGAAATGGTCGTACAGCCCTTATCGACCTTTCAGCGCAGGTTGACTTCGTGGATCATTGGGACCGAATTCGTAACCGCAGTGTGGTAGCTCCAATTGAATGACCGAGTATGTAGTCTTGGTGGCCGAATGGAAGGTGTTTATACACATCCAATTGCTATTAAAGATGGAATCAGCTTAACCCCAGCTAAGTTTCTCATTTATTATAAGTAGTATCGTGTGATGTCACGAATTGTTGGTGATTTCTAATACTTGTTCTCACCACTATATTACGGTTTATATGTTTTCCAGATGGAAGTCCTGGAAAGGCACTAAACTCTGATGCTTTTGACCGGTGTTGGTTTTCTTGCGGTGGGAAGTAGGCATGATTCCATATATGTCCAAATATGCAGTAGTCTGTCAGAAGGGCTACCCACTAAATGTGTTCTTTATCAAAGCCGAATAATACTGCTTTTATAAAAAACCCGGTTATTTAGAAATGCACCTTTCACTGTTTTGTGAAACTAGAGGAACTTTAGAAGTATCTTGATAGGCTGTGCTTTGCAGTTATGCCACCATTCAACGACCAGTTGGGATTGTGACCACTTGTTGTTTAGTGAGTTTGATGGGAAGCTTCTAAGCTGCTGCTGGATCTTAAGAGAGGAAATCAAAAGCCTTGTAAGCTTCAAACACCCTCAAGCAAGCGGTATTTCTGAACAGGAGACGCCTCCATGTCTTGGAGTTTTTTAACGGGGAGAATCCTCTGTAGAAGAAATAACGAAGCCAGAAATATCTCCTAACCCATCCATACACACGAATATCGGTGCGACACAGGTTGTTCCAGCTGCTTACCTGCCTCCATCGGCTCTTCTGCAAATCACAATATCAGCTGAATACCCTTGTAAGTTTTTTTCGGTAGCGCTGATTTTGTGAACTAGCCCAAATTTAACAACATTATGAGGACATTTCTTGTTTTACGGGACAATAGAAAATGCAGACGAAATTGCTCCGAATGAATAGTGCTACGAGGACATACTGGCAAGCTGGTTCGTGATTTGGGGTCAGTGCGGTTCCATTGTGCGAATTACGTCGAAAGTAAACTACGGAACGTATTAGACCAAAAAGGCCTACAGGGATACCCACGGAATGGTTCACCTCTGGTTGTGTAACAGACTTACAGTGAAGCCAAAAAGACACTGATAACCTTAAGGAAATAACTTCTTTCCTTGACTGAACCTACTACTCACAAATTTGTTGAAACTTCCCAGACAGCTCATTGCAAGTTTCGCCCTTCTTGGGCATTACCTGGTAGATATAGTCCCCAAGTTTCCAAAACTTTATAGCCCACTTGAGCACGAAATCGTAGGCTGTTAGAGTTCCAAGCAACTTTGTTAGTAGTATGTTCTGTCGTGAAAACACACTGTAATATCTCAAAAATCGTATCAACTGTGACATGGGGTGGCCCTTGTGCAACACATTCAATTGGAGGAGACCATAAACGTGAGATTCACTTGAGCAGTTCGTCAATGCTAGTATAAATTAGAAATGAGTGTAAACCACTTTACCTCTTACCGAAACTTTAGTTTTTCAAAGATCATCCATAGAAGTTCCGTCATGAAGTGACGATGAACGGCTAACGGGATAAAGTGAGGTCACGTGCCATTTTCAAAACAAGACAATTCTATGAGTGCCTTCGAAAAAGGGCAGTTATTTTGGATGAAAATATACTCCTTTTTTGGGCAGCCCACACGGTGGAAAAACAAATCTGAAAAAAACACCGGGATTTTTTCTATTACTGGATAACTGCACCATGTGTTTTGATTAAAATGAGACTACTGTTTTCGCAAAGCTATCTCTCTTCTTTTTTGGAGAAAAGTACCAACAAGGTTATCGAAAACTTTCCGGCAACATACAACCGGTTTCGCCCACCTTGCAGCTCATCAAATGTACTATTTCTCCGAGTTTCCGTTAATCATGTGTTCTACATGAACCCAAATTGTACAAAATTCGCAAAGTACACGAATGCACACTCCAGTTTGGTTTTCACGCCGGACTCCACCTAATCCCTCCTTTATTGTAGCCTTATGACGTTCATATTACGTTGGAAAGCATCATAAACGGAAGATTCAGCTGAAATTCAGTTGAGTCTCCAGTTGAAACCAAATTGGTGTGCAAATGAGCAAAGGTTGCTTATCCCCTTTTTCTACACAAGCCGTTTGATAGCGGTGTCATCCACAAACGTGATTCACAAACTTTGACGTCAAATAAATGATTACGATTGTATAGATTCCGTCATAAGAGGTTCAATCCTACGAGAACGTTCCATCATTCCAGCTGATTTTAAATTTCGATCGAATTGAATATACAACTTACGGTCTTTTCAAGCGATTCGACACATGAATACCAAAAAATGCAAGTTCATTGTTCCTTTCGTTACAGAATGAGCCCGTTTCTCACAAGAAGAAATATCCCACTACAGTGTATATCATCAGACGCGTACTACAGTATGTATAGTTCAAGTAAGAGACAAGAGCCGTATTGGAAAACATGAATAGCGCTTTTCGGATGTTTTCCAGAGAAGCCCCCACCAAAAATTAACCCCCGCCACCCAAAAAAGATTAGAAAGAAGTGGATATTAAATTTGTACTTTTAGTTTTTATTGAAGAGGATGAAATTGCAACATGTCATTAATAATTTGCATGAAAACGTCCGTTTTTCGATACCTCTGCCTCCGAACGAACTCACACAAGTAGCTGTCCACTGAAGATCGGTGTGTGCCGCATTGGCTCGTATTCTGCCTCTTGAGGACGTGCCAAAGAGATTCGATGGTTTGCGTGTGTGTGAGCTCCAGTCGTGGAATCCACAAAGTTTTCGGTGTGATTAACCGTTTCATGAGCATAATTCATGTCAATCACCGCTTCCATTCCTTGGTATGATGCCCGCATATCGGAGATGATGATTGAGCCGAGAGCAATGCAGGCCTGGATTGTGTTCATCAAAGTGACCGCAGTTCGGTCTGGCACTGCATACATGAACACCTCTTTAGTTTCCCGACAGATCCCTCCGAAAATCCACTGTCGGGGAAGGACTCACTCCGCGTGGTTTATATGACGAGATATTAGCGTTTAATCGATCTCGACGTGTAGACCTGGGCCACCGATAACTGTTGGAGTCTCCGAAAGCTGTCAGGCGCAAACTTCGCAAAGAAAATTCTTCCAGTCAACAGCGGTCGTGTGGCTAATAGATAACTGCTCTTTTTGCATCGCATGTCAATGCTTTCCCAATTACTCTTGACCCATTTTACTCAAGTGGTCGTCATTACAAAACAGGAATCCGAGATGCATAAATGGGAAGAATGTTCCATACTGGGTAGATATCCGAGGAGACTTCCGGATAAGATGCTGTGCAAGACGCATTTACCCTGTCATCATTATCATCATCATCATCATCATCATCATCGTCATCATCACCATCATCAACACCGACAGCATGACACCTACGCTTCGTTGCCGTACCCCCAAAAGAGTTTGAATTTATATCTGGATGTATCTCGCTAGCTGGTCGGTCTGTGTCGCAGGAATTTGGTACAGAAAGTAACTCTAAATGATTGAATGCTTATCCGGGGAAGATCAGTCAGTTCCCTAATAGAAGGGATGCAGAATGTTCATTTTGAGGTAGGGGTTCCTTGTAATGCACCTTAAAAACTACCAGAGGTTCTCGTCATAGTGAGCTGGACACGGGTAACCCTTCCGGGACGGTACCAAACGTCCTTCTTCTACGTTAGTGCAAAGTTTACACGCTGATAAGAATCTGATACTGAGTACATCGACAACTTGTGTCCATTCTTAAAGGACCGCACCCACGTTCCTATTGATCGACGTATATATTTTTTGCCTGTATGGAACTTGCACGAGGCAAACTGGTGGGTGTCCAACTCCTACACATTGGGTTTCACTTCATCGCTTTCGCAGCAGACAGTCGAGTCGATGACCAATGTTTAGAAAGAACGATTCAATCCAGTCTCCATTTCTTTCACAAAAGCGCACTGTAAATCGGTCGTACCGAAACATACAATCGAAGAAACGCACACACGGCTTGACCACAAAGCTTCGTTCAGGTTAGTGCATGCTGTTGCCATGGTGAACTTGATTTGAACGACAGAAGTGAGTATGATTCATCAGTCACGCAGTCAGCACATGTACACCCAAGCGTCAAATGTCACAGTGTCCTTATGGTCAAACCGCAAGAATTCTGGCAGATTTTCACTCCCGGCAGAAGGTACATTTCAGGCCAGCTTAGATGGAAGAGAAAATTACCAATATGACGCCCATATCGAAAAGTAAGATGAATCGCTTTTAGCGTCCTAAGGGTAAACAATTCATGGTCAGACCGTACGTGACCAGTTACCACTACCACTACTTGCAACTACTCACCGATGTCGACAGCTTGTCTAAGCTGTGGAGTAGGATACTGCACCCACGTTGAGTCATTTCAACCTCGAGGTACACTGTCCTCGAAGTTTTGCACACGGATAACTTCAGGTGACATCAAATCTGGCAAATTCCTCAAATTCCTCAGAGAAAAAGCTGAGAGGAGGAACTGACCCGTTTTCAGTGGCTGCGTACTACGACAATGGTGTTTTTTTACATTTAGTCCGCTCCGTCACTCTTCACATTCTTGCCTCTTTCTTCTCATTCAACACCGCTGAAAGCTTGCATTCTGTAGCGTCCGGTTTAAGGTCAGTTAGCCTGGTCAGACTTCCCAAGTAAGCATATTGCTGTACACCTGTCGACTAGGGTAGCCAACTACTCTCACACGGGCTCGTCAGGTAGACGAAATCCCTGAGTTTCCGTCACTCTCATGTTCTACTTGAATCCAAATCGGACAGCTTTGGACAAATACACTCAATTGGATATCAGTTCAAGGCCCATTAAGAATCTCAATACCTTCATTTAGACCACTAGTGAAAAACGCAGCTTCTGCGTGCACAGGAGTAGCAATAAAAAACACCGCACGTGGTAAACCTCAGACGCCGCTTCAACTAATTCGAATTTGTATTTTATTTTTTCTCTTGTCTGTGTAGTTCCTTCAACAATACACAAACTCATAGTCCTTAAATCAGGTTGACAAAGTTGGGCACATTGTCACCCGTGAGCTGAACAGTAAGTAACAAACCTATA